TGCCCCCGCGTGCCCGCGTGCGGCGCCCCCACCTGTAGCAGTCGTGCCCCCGCGTGCCCGCGTGCGGCGCCCCCACCTGTAGCAGTCGTGACCCTGCCCCCGCGTGCCCGCGTGCGGCGCCCCCACCTGTAGCAGTCGTGACCCTGCCCCCGCGTGCCCGCGTGCGGCGCCCCCACCTGTAGTAGTCGTGAGCGCCATCTGCGTCACAGAAGTGGCAGAAGTAGTGGTCGCGGCGCAGGTGCTTGAGCAGCTCGTCATTGTCCAGGTAGCGCTCGTCACAGAACTTGCACAACGGGTGTCCACGGTGCGACGTGTCGTCCGGGTCTCCCTGCATGCGGTGACGCGCCAGGTCCTTGCGCGAGTACCACTTGCGCTCGTAGGTGAAGATCTGCAGAGAAGGGGCTTAGCTCGAGGGGGTCCCAGGCCTCCTGTGGGCCAGCATCAAGCAGGCATGGATGGGTGATGGGCCAGGCTGGCTAGCCCCCAGCCGCCAGCACTAGGAGCCTGGTGTGCCCGGTGAGTCATGTTGGAGGGAAGCCCAGGATGTTACGGGGAGAGAGAGGCTGTGGGCCTAGACAAGCCCCCATGCCTGCCCAACTCCTGCGTCGCCTGGACCCTGTCTGGGTGCAGACAGACACCACAGTCACCTCCCTCAGCGCCAGCTCTCCCAGGGCTGGGGAGCGAGGCCACGCCCGTCACTCCTTCCTCCCAGGAGCAAGACCAGGTCCATAAACCCTCCCTAAGACGTGAGGCCAGGCCCACCACCCACCTCCCAAGGCGTGAGGCCACGCCCACCACTTCCAGGGCCACGCCCACCTTGAGGTGCCTGAGGCACAGCTTGCAGCAGAAGAGTTCGTGCTGCCTGCGCATGTGCTGCTCCAGGTCTCCAAAGGCCGCGAAGGGCGGCAGCGCAGGGCACCGCGGACACTCGTGCTGCAGCAGTTGCCTGGGGACGAGAGGGCCGCCATGTCAGCACCGCCACTGTCACTCCCCTTGTGCCAGACGGCGCTGGGCCTGCAGTCGGGAGTCTGACTCACGCTGCGGTCAGCACAGCGGAGCCCCTCCAGGCGCAGGGCTGGAAGCCCTGGCCTGACCCGAGCCGCCGCGGCGCCTGGGAAACGAGGTTCAGCGTGTGCCGGCCGCGCTCCTTACAGGATGCTTCTGGCACAAGCCGGAGGTGCCGTGGTGGATCCTGAGCGGTATCCACTCAGGGAGCTGAAGGCAAGCGCCTGCTGTGTGCCACACAGAGGGTGTTCCGCGCCATCTGCGGCCCAACCCACTAATAGAGGCAGAAACTGAGGTCTGGGAAGGGCAGTGACCCACAGTATCACACAGCTGCCTGCAGAGGCCCAGGGATGGACACCTGTCTGCACCGGGACCCCCTGCTTGGGGCATTATGGAGCACAGGGTGACAGGCCCCAGCACAGGTGTCTCCCTCACCTGTATAAGGCAAACACCTTTCCATCAGCAAAGTAGATGTCGTATCTCTTCTCGTGCTGCAGCTGGTGGATGGGGATCGTGGCGAAGGCCGGAAGCTTCTTCCCGAAGACCACCTGGGCAGAAGGCAGGGACTATGAGCTGGGCTGTGCCGCCCTCCACCAGAGGCTGAGCAGGAAGGCTGGCCATCACAGTGAGGGGTGTCTGCAGCCGGGGCCCCCTGCTGCACAGCAGGCCACAGACAGGCAGCACCTCTGGGGACTGGGGGCCTCCCGTCCTCACCCCCAACTGGAGCCAGCAAACTGGGCATGACAGGCCTGAGCAAGGAGGCTCAGCTGCCAGCCCCATCCCCCACAACCTCTGTGCTCAGCTATTGGGGTGGCCCAGCTCAGATACAGGCAGGCCCCCAGCAGCCCACCTCACCAAGGGTGCTTGGGGTGAAATGTCCCCCTGCATTAGGGGGACTGCTTGGGGAGCCCAAGGGCCACATCTGCAGAAGGTGGGCCATCTCTGCTCACTCCCATACCAGCACCCCACACACACCTTACTGTACCAGGCAGCACACGGGGCCTCCCCGAGGGGCTCAGTACTCCAGGGCTCACGTGAGGTGAGGACAGAGTGCAGGAGAGATGCCATGAGGTGACCATGAGGCGGCCACTGCCCTCGGTCCAGCACCCCCCATGTTGCCGTGACAACATAGGGGTCTCCCCTTTGGCCAGACCTCTCGGCCCCTCCCCCAGCTCCCTGCCCAAAGGGATGAGCTGGTTTGTTGGACCCAGCACTGGCTACAAGGACCCTGTGGCTGGGGCACCCGGGCCACCTCCCAGGGCTTGGCAGCACCCACAGGTGCCAGCTCCTGGAGGCCTCCTATCTCTCCCCTCCCCGTTGTCACGCTGGGGGACGGTAAGGTACAGCTGCCTGTCTGCATGTCCCCCCCACACCGTGCCCAGTGGACACCACATCACAGCTGCCATCCCCATGACGTGTCCTCAAACGAGAGTCAAAACTTGGCCGGGTGACGCGGGGCTGCTCACACGGCCCTCTCAGCACCCTGGCTTTCTTCCTCTGCCCCCCACCAGCCCCAAACACAGGATCAGCCTTCTTGGGGGAGCTTCCTGCCTGGTCCGCCTGCCTCCACGCCCGTGGCGCCTTCCCAGCACAGACCCGTGCCTGCTCGGCCCACCGGAAGCCCCCAGCACTCAGGAGACTGTGGCCCACGGCCCGTGACCCCACCTCTGTGCACAGGTGGCAGGTCCCCGAGCACTGTCCCTGCCAGCAGCAAGATGAGCACACAGAAGGAACTCCCGGGGCGGCTCAAGCCCCCAAGCCGGCAGACCCTGTGGGGGAGTGTCCGTCTCCCTGGACCTGCCACCAGTACCTGCCCCATCTGCCCCGAGTGGGGCTTCTCCCAGACCGCTGTGCCCTACCTGCCAGCTGGATGGGCCCCCACCAGGGGAGGAGGAGCCCATGGTGGTACCCACCTGCTGACTGCCCCACCTCCACCCTCGCAGGCACCTGACAGCCTTGAACGGATGGTAGAGCTGGGATGACAGCAGTGAGCCCTGGCAGGAGGTGAAGTGGACGGTAGGACACTGTGGGGCCCTGCGGGGGGCTCCAAGAGACAGAAGCCCCCCGAGAGGGTTCAGGCACTAGGAGCCAGGGGCAGGACTGCGGAGTAGTGGGACACGGCCTGGGGGCATGGCAGGCAGAGCTTCAACCCTTACACCCACTCCCGTGCCTACAAAATGGGCCTCAAGATTCCCCCAGCTCAGATACGTGGCACCTCACGTGGTGGCCAGGTCGGGCCGTCGTCTGTGCAAAAGCCGTGCCACAGAACAGGGACCAAGGCCTGGATGTCACCGTGGGTCTCCACCAGCCGTGCCCACCTCAGCAGCCACTGCCGGTGGTAGTGCCCCCTCCCCACCCTCTGGGGCCGCCTTGGTCTCCACCCTGAGCACCCGACGGGCTACATGGACCAGGCCTGGCTGGCTCAGTGGCTGGCGTCCTCTCAGCCATCCCTTCCTCCCCTCACAGGGGTATCCTGAGCTCACCCCCCTCGGCGCTCACCCGTTCCCCACAGCTTCCGGGCAAGCGTCCCCCATTTTTGCAAAGACAGTCCGCTGAGGGCGGGCATGGAGGGGCAGGGGTGTGGGGCAGTGGGGTTGCTCGGGCTTGGGACACCAGGGCGTATTCAGGAGACAGGCCAGACTCAGCAACAGAACAGGACAGGACAAGAGAGCAGGGGAGAAGGCGCTGGCATCCATCTTCCTGGCCTGCCTGCCTGCGGCCCAGCAATGCGGGGGCAGGCCCTCCCAGGACTCAGCAGGGCACCGGTGCCAAGCCACACCCTGGCCAGCTCACGTCCACACCCCCCAGCCACAGAGCTGGTGGGGGGAGAACACACACAAAGGCCTGCAGCTGGCCACGCAGCCGTGCCCAGAGCCAGGACCACACGTGCAGAGACCTGTTCTACGGGTCCCCCAAGTTCCAGGAAGGAAACTATGGATGACAGAGGCCACCTGGCCTTTTGTGAGTTACGTCACACGACGCAAGACCGGCCGGCCCAGCAGGCTCTCGGGAAGCAGGAGGTGTCCTCTCACACGACGCAAGACCAGCCGGCCCAGCAGGCTCTCGGGAAGCAGGAGGTGTCCTCTGAGTAAGCCACAAACCCTGGGTGTCCCCACTTCTCCCTGCAACACCACCTCTCGGGTTTCGACCCATTTCCCTCCACCTCCAACCGGTAGCTCCTCGAAGTCTCTGTCCCCTGGGCACCGAGTAGGTTCCCGTGAACCCTCGGGGCACTGCTGCGTGTCTCTCTTTAGCCCATTTAACAGATGTTTGTTTACTTTCTTGAAAATGAGCAGCCCATCCCTCGACAATACCGTGTCTGCAGCACTTGTGGCGATAGGAGAGACAGGCGATGTCACACAGGAGCAGCTTTCCGTGAACAAACCCGGGGGGGGGGGGATTTCGCAATGCTGGGAACAAACAGACCTCAAAGCACCAAGGGGTTCAGACCCGGTGCCCTGGCCAGCAGCCGGCATCACAGTGACGTGAGAGGACACTCCACGGTGTCCTCTGACACTCCCAGGACTTACAAGTCCAGGCTAGGCAGAGTTGGAAAGGTCTCCCCTCCACTCTAGAACTGAGCCTCAAAGTCAGAAGCAGGGGGAGGAGGAGGATGGAAACTTTCTGAGACTATGATCTTGCACTTGACCTGCTGGGGACATCTGGGGGTCCCACCCCCACTCGACAGAGGAAACAGCTAGTCCCCGGGGTTGGCTTCAGGACACCCAGTGGGGCCCGGGAACAGGCGGGCGCTGCCCACAGCTTGACCCCCTGCTTCCAAGACAGGAAACCCTGTCCCCTCCGCGCTAATGGAGACCCCCACGGAAAGGCATTCTTGCTTAAGATGAGCAGGTCACGGGATTCCTGCTTGAATCAGGCCCGGTCCTGTGGACCAGCACGAATTCCGGGGCGGAGAAGGGCAGGCCCCAGGCTCTGTCCCCACGGAGACCGCTCCGTCCTCGATCCAGCCCGGCCACCTCCGGCCGCGCGGCCCCAAGTGGCCCTGGCGTCGGGACCCCGCCCTGGGTGGCCCTGCCAGGGCTTCCCTTTCGGAAGCCGGCGCCGCCAAGTTCGCCGCCGGCCACCAGGAAGGCAAAGTGCCCTTCCGGCCGCCCGCCGCCGCGCCCACCCGGCACCCCGGCCGCGCGGCCCACCGCACCTGGCGCAACTCCTCGCGGCACACGGCGCAGTAGCGCTGCTCGCACAGCACCCGCATCTTGGTGGAGCAACGGTAGCACACCGGGTGGTCACAGCGGCCTAGCGCTGTGGCCTCCAGGTCCCCGCAGCACAGGACGCAGCTCCCGCCGACCCGCTCCGGCGCCGCAGCCGTCTCCAGTGCCCCGCACCGCCCCTCGGCGCTCGCCGCCGCCATGACCCGGGCTCCGGCCCCCTCCGGGCCGGCGCGGCGCGGCCTGACTTCCGGAGGATCTGCCCCTTCCGGGGCGACGTCACCGCCCCGCCCAGCAACGACCCCGCCCAGCGGAAGTGCACTCCGCGACCTTCAGCGCCAGCGAGACGCGGGCTAGAGCGGCACGCCTAGGACACGGCGGCGTTCTAGCTCGATGAGGTTGACTGGAGGTCCGGTGTCCCCTCAGGTTTGGTGGATTCTCCGGACAGCATGGCCCCGATGAAACAGAGCACGCCGAGTTAAATTTGAATTTGAAATAAACCATAATGTTTGAGTGTACGTCCCAATACTCTAAATAGAGTTTGACGCATCTCTTGGGGCATTTGGGGAAATTGCAAAGTATGTAGGGAAACTGGGAAAGGAAAATAAAACGCCTCTCGGTGGGAAAGGAAATGTAGTCATAGTAATTGAGGTGCGAGAGAGCCAGAGCTTCATATCAATTTATAAGAAGTCATTTGATGCTGCCTAACATGGATAAATTAAGAAATAAAACCCATTTCCTTGAGTGGATCCTGACTCATAATGATGTGTAGGACAAAACAGAATGGCCCCATATGGTTTCCAACGCTGTAATCTTTACGGGAGCAGATTGCCAGGTCTTTTCTGCTGCGGACACACTGGTGGGTTCGAACTGCCAACTTTTCACTTAGCAGTCAAGTGCTTAACCCTTGCACCACTAGGCCTGCATCATTCCTTCCATCTTCCAAGCCAGCGTCTGCAGGCATACCTCGAGTTACTGCAGTTCTGCCCCAAAGTACCTCCACAAAGTGAACATTGCAATCAGGTTATCACACTTGGTTTTCCAGTGCATATAAAAGTCATGTTTACACTACACCGTAGTCTCTTATTGTGTGATAGCGTTATAAACAAGTTTGCAGTGTTGTGAGAATGACCAAAACGTGACACAGAGACTCAAAGTGAGCAATTGCTGTTGGAAAAATGGCGGCGATAGACTTGTTCAATGCACGGTTGCCCCAAGCCTTCAGTCTGTGAAAAACTGTGACAGCTGTGAGGTGCAATGAAATGAGACACCCCTGTGCTCCTGTCTTACATCTCCTTCTCTGGGTCCCTCTCCCACATTTAAGGGAGGCCAGTGATTGTATAAGGAGCTCTGGTGACACAGTGCCTGAGGCATTTGACTGCTAACTGGAAGGTTGGTGGTTCAAATCCACCAGGCACTCTGCAGAAGGAAGATGAGGCAATCTACTGCCATAAAGATTTACCACCTTGGAAACCCAATGAGGGTCGCTATGAGTCAGAATCAACTTGATGGCAGTGGTTTGTTTTTTTGCTTTTGTGATTGTGTGGAGGAACCCTGGTGGCGCAGTGGTTAAGTGCTTGGCAGCTAACCCAAAGATCAGCAGTTTAAACCCAACGGGTGCTCTGTCCATGGGAGAAAGATGTGGCAGTCTGCTTCCGTAAAGATCACAGCCTTGGAAATACTATAGGGCAGTTCGACCCTGTCTTACAAGGTTGCTATGGGTCAGAGTCGACTTGATGGGGACGGGTTGGGTTTGGTGATGACACTGGGTTCACACAGATAAGCTAGGATGAGCTCCGTATCTTAAAGTCAACTGATTAAAATAAAAACCCACACCTTTCTCCTTCAGAGCAGTTGGTGGGTTCAAACTGCCGATCTTTTGGTTGGCAGCCAAGCACTTAACCAGTGCACCATCAGGACTTGACAGTCATTTGAGTTGCAACCTTAATTCCATCTACAACCTTAATTTCTCCTTCCATGAGACCACGTATTCACAGTTTCCAGAGACTAGGACTAGGACATGGGTATCTGTGAGAAAACAGTGTTCTGCCTACCACATGCTGCAAAGCAGGGCACAGGGTAGCCCCTACAAGAGAGACTGACTTGGCTCCAAACCTCAATAGGGCTGAGTCTGTGCCAGTCTGAAATAAGAGGGTTCTGGCTAGGAAGGGCCAAGAGGCCTTTGTTAGGAAGTATTTCTAGGACTGGGACTGGGCGGGGCACAGAGGCCTTTCCTCTCTGCACCCAAAAGTGGGGGCTCCTGGACACCCTCAAACTACTCTGTGCTTTGTTCCCCTAACTCAGCCCCGAGGCTTCCTTCCCTCCCTTTCCCCCACCTTCTGCGCCACCCCCACACACACACAGGCACAGTGACGGCCTCTTGTGTGGCTCCTTGCTCCCAAATGTGACCTTGACGGTTTCCTTGCACGCTGGTATGTTTACAAACATCCGTAAAGAATTCAGTTCTGTTATTTTGTGTGCCATTGAGTCGATTCCAACTCACAGCGTCCCTAGCAGACAGAGTGGAACTGCCCCAGGGGGTTTCCAAAGCCGTCACTCTTTGCTGAAGCCAGCTGCCTCATCTTTCCCCTGCGGAGCCGCTGGTGGGTTCAAACAGCTGACCTCTGGGTGAGCAGCAGAGCGCGTAACCAGTGCGCCACATTTATAAACAAGTAGAAGAGTGTACTGCTGGTATTTAGACTTCAGCAAACACCTTCACACGGGACCTGGCATTCTGCACAGCTCTTTTTCCATCGGTCATTATTGCCGTTTGCAGATTTTTCCTCGCTACTGCTCGGAGCTCTGTTTCAGTTCTTCTAACTGCATAGAAACCTCCCTTACAGCGTGGCCCACGTAGCAGTTCATCAGTTTTCATAGGGCTCGGTCTTTCTCCAGAAGAATCTTGCCGGTCTACCTACAGGGGGCGCCAGAGCATCTCAGGCCGCGAGTGCCGTCCCTCGGGGTCCTGGACGGCCCCGCCCCTTTGCTCGCGTCGTGCAGTGCCGCCTGCCCACTGCGCACTCCAAGCAGCTCTTGAGGCCAAGAGGACCCTGGGGAGCATGGCAGGGGCGGATTTCCGGGCGGCCCCCCTAGTCCTTGGGGTCCTCCAGGCCCCTCCAAGGAGCGTAGGCGGCTTTCCTCCACCACTGGCCGGCCCCTATGACTCACGTTTCTATCAAAGCTTTTCACTGCCATGTTGGTGGGGGAGCTAGCATAACCATCTACCAAGCGCCTACTGTGCGCCAGGCCCCGCGCCTACGCCTGGATTATTCATCTCACAGCCAGCTGTGGAGGTAGCCACCATGGGTATCCCCATTTTATAAACGAGGACTGGAGGTACAGAGGCTGAGGCTTGCCCCCTCCCCACACACCCCCACCATCAAGTGTGGGTCAAATTTGAGTCCAGCCCTCTGGGTTCCAAGGCCTTCTCACCCCTCTGGGTGGTCTCTGAGGGCAGAGCTGCTGCAGCTGCTAGCAAGCCTGAGTAGGAGGGGGACTGGCAGGCCCTTTACCCTGTCCATCCCCCAGCCCCCACCCCCATGCGCCCCTTGGACGGGAGGATCTTGTTCCCTGGCCTGAAGGAGGCAGACCCAAGCTCTGTCCATCTCCACCTCCCACATCTGTCGCCACCCACTTACTTGCACTGAAACAATAGGCAGAGGGACAAGGGGAGTTTCCATGGCCCCCAAACTTGCACTCTTGGGCTGGGGGGCTGGGTCGGACCCCACTCTTAACCCCCATTGACCCACCATATGGTCTCAGACAAGTACTTCTCCATGTCCCCCTGGGTTCATGATGGTAAAGTGCACTCAGTGAGGGTCGCCCCCCCCCCTGGAGTTGTTTGGAGGTCAAAGGAAGACATTCTTGGGTGATTTGGACAAAGTCCCTGGTGCCTAGAACCTAAAAGGGGCTGCATGTGTGGTGTGGTTGCTGGGGTGGTGGTGAGGATCTTATTTTGAGGGCTGGATCCACTCTCAACTGGGAGGGAGGAAGGAAAGGGTTGGGCCCTGCCCTCTGGAAAAGGGGCTGTTAAGTTTGGGCAGGCACTGGGAGGAATATATGGGGAATGACTCAGAAGAGAGCCTTTTAAGTGGGGTACTGAAGGATGAATAGGAGTTTGCCAAGCTGACAAGGAAGAGGACATTCTAGGCACAAGAGACATGTTGTTGTCGTTGTGTGCCGTTGAGTTGGACCTGACTCATAACAACCCCTCCTTGTGTTGGTGAGGCAGTATCACTACAGAAGTAGATTGCCCAACCTTCCTTCCGGGGAGTGGCTGGTGGGTTTGAACTGCCAGCCTTCTGGTTAGCAGTCAAGTGCCTTAGCCACTATGCTACCAGAGCTCCCACAAGAGGCATAGAGATGGGCAAAATCATGGTTTGTTGGGTAAAGCCCAAATCAGAAAAGACTGCCTGGAGTAGTCTTGGGGGGCCATGACCAGAGAAGGGGGTGGAGCTGGTTAGGGCTTTAACCTGCCCCCCACCAGGGCTAGGGGTGTGAGAAGGGGCTGCGTCTTTATCCTGGAGGTCTTGAGGACCCAGGAACCATCTCAGCCAGGGCATGATGTCCTGCTTGTCCTTGTCACACATCTGTTTGGCTGCAGCTGGGAAATGGGTTGGTGGGGAGAGGCTAGGGGAGAGAGAGGACAGGAAGGGGTGTGGAATATATGTGAGAATTGTGTTAGGACAAGCCACAGTCCTCAAGGGTGGACAGAGAGGGGTCCACAGAACAGCTCCCCTGCTTTAGCGGTGGAGAGGGGGCGCAGCAACGCCCCCAGCCTCGTCTTCAGACAGGTTCCGGCTGGAGACCCACTCAACAGGGCCACTCACTGCAGGATCTCCCACCCCTTACCCTCCAGCAGCCTGGACTCCCTCTTCCTCCCCATCCCTCTCTCCCCATTGGGGATTAAAGCAGGTAGCGCGGGGGTGCGCCGGGGCGGGGCCCCAGAGTTTATAGCTGGTTCTTGGTGACGCCTGCCTCTAGCCCCCTGCGATCAGACTCCCCGAAGACCCCCTTCCGCCAGTGCCTAGACCTAGCGAAGCTGGCTCCAGGACCGCCACGCCGAGCGGCCATGGACGCGGGGGGCCCCAGGGTGCTGGGCCCGGGCCCAGGGGCTCCTTGGAGCCGGGCACTGCCCACGGTGCTGCTGTTGCTGCTGCTGCTGGCCGCGCCCGCTGGCACCTGGTACAAGCACATGGCTAGTCCCGGCTACCACACGGTGGGGCGCGCCGCCGGCCTGCTCCTGGGGCTGCGCCGTTCGCCCTACAGGTGGCGCCACCGCGCACTGCTCGCGTCCATCGGGCCCCGCGTCTGGCACACCCTCGCCCCGCAGGCTCCGGGCCTGGGCACGTCCCCCCAGGGGCCCTCTGCCAGGGATGCTCTTCTGCGGCTGCCCTCGGAGGTGCAGGCGCTACAAGAGGCGTCAGGCGGAAACGCCTGGGGAGGGCTTCTGGTCCGTGCGACCCCGAGCCTGCGCGCCGCGGAACCGGAGCCGCGGCGGGGCCCCCACTCCTGGACTTCAGGGACGCCCGTCAGGTACGTGGGGGAGAGAGAGAGAGAGGCCGGGTACCCGGACGGCAGCGGGAGAGGGGTCTCGACCTGTCTAATAGGGGAGCGCACGGAGGTGCGCCTGCGAGGCACCCTGGGTCCTACCAACGCCGGGAGAGAAAATTCTTCCCGGAGTCTCCACCTTTCCAGCCCGGGGGTGGCGCAGCGGAGGGCGCACGGCCCCCTCCCACCGCCTTGCGCTGTTCTTTCCAGAGCCTTCGGAGAGACGCCGCCCGGCCAGCCACGGTGCACCCAGCGAGAGGCCCTTGCCGGCCCCCGCCTCGCCCCGGGGCCGCCCTGAGCGCAGCCCCTGCTCGCGGCGCCCCCAAGCCTGACCCCGAAGGAGTTGCTGCTACTCAGGCCCCTCCGTCTCGTCAATAAACCCCGCCTGGTTCCCGCGCCCCTGCGTGTGACCCTTGGCTGCGCGCTGTGTACTTCGCCATATCGCTTCGGGGCGCAAGCACGCGCTCCCACGCCCTGGCAAATTTCCTGGCTAGCCAGGAGAAGGGGGCCCCCCAACCGCCAGGATCCCTGTCCTACATGGTGCAAGGGGAGGGGCGGAGCAGAGACCTTGCCGGAAACTGTTCCTCGTGCAGTTCGGCCTTCTGTTCAGGGATGGGGTCGCCGGGCCACACGGGGGGAGAGGCAAGACAGATCCTGGGTCCTGTTGTCATCCACTGGGGTGTACAGGAGGGGGAAGTGGGAACTCCCCGCAGGACGGGCCCTCCCCGCCCACAGCTGCCCGCTGCCCACAGCTCTGACCGCAAGCCCGGCTGGCTCACTCGGCCTTGCCTGCTGCTGTTCTCTGCGTTCATTTCAAACCTGGCTCTCCGAACCCCTCACTCCCCTCATTCACCATGAGCCCCTCCTCCCAGAGATGGAGCCCTCTGGCCAAACCCTGCCCACCTCTTATCCCCTCTAGAATCGCTTCCCCTCTGCACGGGGCTTCCCTGTCCCCCACTAGCATCTCCCCCACCCCCAACTCTTCAACCCTCCCCAGTCTGGCCTCTGACTCCACCCCACCGTCCTAGACCTCTAACTGCCGTGTCACTGTGCTCAAATTTCAGGTGACATGGAAGTACCCCAGTCCAGATGTTGGTGGGGGGACAGAGAAGATTAGGGACCAAGTACAGGTTCCCTCCGTGCCCCCATGGAACCCCATATGGCCCTGACACCCGACTACCTGAAGGCGCCGGCCTCACCCCCCAGTACCCAGCCCCGGGGTGCAACAGAGAAGGGAACCTGGGGCATCCCTCCGGACTGTGCAATCCCGCCCAGAGCCGGCAGGTGGCGCTGCGCGCTGCTGTTCCCGGAGACCGCGACGGAACGGGCTAGGGGCGGGGCCATAGCGTGTAGGCGGGCCAAGGCTGCCCTGCTGTGCTCAGTCGCGGGGCCCCTCTTCCCAACCCCAGGGCCCTTTTGTCTTCTGCTGTCTGTCCGTCTTCCCTCTTTGGTCTTCTGTCCTTACCCTGTCGGTCCTTGCTGCATCTCCCCTTCTCTGTCTCTCCTCGTCTCTGGTCTCTCTCACCTCTCCTGACCCTGGCCACGCCTGCTCCACTTTCGGCCTGTATGGAGCACACCCCCACCATCAAGCGTGGGTATCTGCAGAAGGAGGCCCTTAGGCCCTAAGGCCTGGTTATCCCTTGTTATGTTGTTGTTATTTGCCGTCGAGTCGCCCCCGACTCATAGAGACTCCTCCTTGGGTTTCCGAGGTTATCCCTAGCGACCATTAATGCCTATCAGGGCAGCAGCGCCTGCCGGGAGCTCTGGGCCATTACCGGGGCATCAGGCTCCGGCCCATGGGGGCAGTTGCAGCAGGGATATAGGGCACAGCGGCAACCTTCACTGCAGGTGGTCCTCCAGAAGTCCAGAGGAGGGAAGAGTTAGAACCATGGGACAGACTGACAGCCCGGTGGCAGGGTGGGGTGGAGGGTGGGGTCCACCGAGGCCTCTGATCACCTCTGACCTGACCCCCTTCTGCCTGCTGCTAGCCTGGGGGTCTAGGCCACACTCCCCCAGACCCACAAAATAGAATCCACTCTCTGTAGGACCCCTGCCTGTGGCCTGATGGCACTGACCCCGGGGCCTCCCTGGCCATCTCCCCTGTCCCCCATGCCCAACAATCCCAAACAGCTAGGCCCCTCGGTGCCTGAGTTCACACTCCAGGCCTTTGCTTCCCTGTTGTTTCCATTTTCTGCTCACACTCCATCACAGGGCGCTGTGGTGGCCTCAGACCCAGGCGGGGCGGTTCTGTGGGGCTGGCAGGTGGCCTGGGGACGGGTGGCCTGTGAAAGCCACTGGCTCTTCCTTCAGTTCTGCTACTCGGGTCTCCTGGTTATTGTATCCCCTGCATTTCTTCCATTTATTCCTGCTGAAAGAAAAAAAAACTCCCAAACCAACTATATTGCTGTGGAGTCAATTCTGACTCTTAACAAGAGCAGAACTGCCCTCGAGGATTTCCAAAGCTGTAAATCTTTACAGAACCTGATTGCTACATCTTTCTCCTGAGGAGTGGCTGGCGCGTTCGAATTGCCAACCTTTGGGCTCGCAGCAGAGTGCTTTAACCCGTGAGCCACCAAAGAAACAAAACCACTGCCAGAGTCCATTCTGACCCACAGCGCCCCTAGAGGACAGAGTGGAACTGCACCACAGGGTCTCCAAGGCTGTCAATCTTCACAGAAGCAAAGCCCAAACCACACCCACTGCGTGGAGTCCATTCTGACCCACAGCGCCCCTAGAGGACAGAGTGGAACTGCACCACAGGGTTTCCCAGGCTGTCAGTCTTCACAGAACAAAAGCCCAAACCACACCCACTGCCGTGGAGTCCATTCTGACCCACAGCGCCCCTAGAGGACAGAGGGTCTCCCAGGCTGTCAGTCTTCAAGGAAGCGGACTGCTGTGTCTTTCTCTCACAGTGGGTTAGAACCGCTTACCTTTGGGTTAGCAGTCCAGCACTTGAAGTACTGCATCCCCTTTGAAATTCTCAGTCTGGTTCCTCGCTGGCGGCAGGAGCCCACAGCCTCTGTTCCCTGCCCCTTTGCTTCTGTCTGGTCACCTTTGTCACCCTCAGGGACTTCCTCCCCTCCTTTTTTTGTTTGGAGCAGTCTTTGTCATCCCAGGATTGCAGTGTTCCTCTGCTACTTCCTCGTTCCTAGCTCCCTGCTGTGACCACTTGTCCCTAATGACCCTTGCTTCCAGGATACTCCTCATTCCATCCGCTGTCACAAGCAGGTGGGGTGGGGGTGGGGCTCAGCCGAGCCCAGGGCTGCGGAAGGCCAGGGACGGCCTCAAAGCTGGCCCAAGCGTTTGCTCTACAGACGGAGGGTTCCCCCAAGCCCACGGGCCCAGGGAACCAGGAGCCTCCCTTCCCCGGCCCCTGGCCTGGCCCCACTCAGCTACCTCCCCCGCACTGGGCAGGCACAGCCTGGGGGCTCCTCGGTGGTCAGGGTGGCACAGGTGTGGCATATAGCGGGCCTACAGCCATCCTCACAGCCCCCCAGGGAAGCGGCGCCAGGCTGACCCTAGGGAGCAGTGGTCACAGGCCAGGCAAGCAGACACAGCCTCTGGATAGCCAGGCAGACAGACAGCGGCCAGCGAGGTCCCAGCCGGAACTGCAGAGGAGGGGGTGAGAGAACAGCTAGGCAGCCTAAGTGCTTTTAGGGGCAGCGCTGGGGTGTGGGCACCCAGGGGGCCTTGGCCCACGAGGCCGCTCAGGGGCGGGCCTTGTGCTTGGTGGGGGTAGGGGAGCCTAGGCCCAGGGCACTGGAAGGAAGGAGCCTTGAGGACCAGGCTGAGCCGCTGCGCCTGCCCCATGGGGAACTGGCTGGGGTGGCTGTGCCTGACCCCCAGGAACCAGGTACGTGCAGGGCTGGCAGGGCTGAGGAGGGCTTAGGCTGTCTTCCTGCCTGTGAAACTGCCAAAGGGCTCTCTGGGCCAGTATGGAGTCTTGAGTCCAGAACCTAACAGCTCTGGGTCCAAGCCGGGCTGGGGGCCCTCCACACACAAGTGTTTCTTGCCCTGTAAGATGGCCCGGCCCCCTAGGGGTCTTACAGGTAAGACACACTCAGCAACTGGTCCCTGCAGAGGTTACTGTCGGCTGGGGGGTGTGGGCTGGGACAGAGGCCCACGGGGGCCAGGTCAGTGTGTGTTCGGACCACTGCTGGGATCAGAAGCACAAGGCATCCCAGGCAGGAAGTGGGTGGCACAGACGCCCATGTCCCAGCTGCACAAGCGCGTGTCACCCCTCCGTCCTCGTCTCAGCCAGCAACTGCAAAGTCACAGCCCAAGCCTGGGGCCCCACGATGGATGGCATGAGTTGGACAGGGACAGGGAGGGGCGTTGGCAGACATACACAGCACAGATAGCACCAACAGGGGGTCGGAGAGTACCTGGTGCCCTGCCTGTTGGGTGTGGGGGGTACTGCAGCCATGTCACTTTGGACCCGTGTTGGCTTCCTGGTGCCCCCCCTGGGTCAGGCTGGGGCAGTTCTGGGTGAGGCCAGCGCTGGAGGGGGCCGTGGAGACATGGCCATCCGTGTTCTTACCCTTGGGTTGGGGTCCCTTCCTCCTGGGGACCTGCTCCCCACCCCACCCCCCTCTCAAGAGGCTGCCTTGGCAGCGCGCACACAGTAGGCGCTCAATAAACGTTCCTGGCTCCAGGGAGGGCGCCCAGCGCCTGGGTGAGACAGCAGGGGGCCTGGGGG